ACGCTGAATTCTGCGTATGAGACCACCTATTCTGAGACGCATTGGAATGTAAAATGTTGATGGCAAGTCTTAATCATGCTTAGAAGTGGTTCGGGTCTTGGGTAGTAGATATTCTTGCTCTATATCTATCTACCTAGGTAGGTTCCTATGTATTGAAATAGGGGAGAATGTTTGTCCAGGTCAACATCTGATGTGGCTGAAAGTATTTACCTAGCTGCACCCTTCCTTTCAGCCACAATTATGAGCCACCGACCTTATCGGACACCTTATCTAATGACCCGAGGTTTGTTGTTCGTCTAGTCATCTAGAAGCGTTTCCATGGATGATGGTGATGGCATTGATTGTTGGGTTGTAATGATTGATGTTTGATTACTCTATTACATTACCTCATACTGTATCAGAAGCTATGAATAACTACTAGGTAGCTCACTATCGCATCGCACTAGAGATGACATTCTTCTAGAAGGGAGAAGCTTAGTCTATTAACTTTGAGCTAAAGATTCGGAGCTGCCCGAGAAAGCATGATATGAATGCCAGTCAGTGACTATGTATGTATCTAGTAATTGCTTACACTTGAATGGCTGTCTACTGGAACTTTGTTTGGTAGGCACCTAATAGATCAACATACCATCATCCTGTCTATCTCTCTGTCTACACTATATTCATCCCATCCTGTTGGTCGCCAAGTGATAGTCGACTAACAAGACATGTAAAGTGCTCTATCTTAAATATAAGCTTAAACCTCATTTCTGTTCTTCACCACCACTCATGAAATTTGCCTGGGAAATTATCAAGTACCGGTGTGCTGGTGGGATACATGAACCTGAATGCCTGCCGTCGATGTGAACCTTGGAAGTTAGTAGATTCGTGGGGTTAACGATGTCATTCATCACTCATACTTGTTAAATGCGGTGTGAGATTTACAGCTGACATTCCAATTCCTTGGCGTCTTTTTCTTCAATTTGCCTTCCAAGTACGAGGTCGGTATTCTTGAACCTATTCCCAAAAAGCTCAAGGCAATTCGATACGTAAACCGTACGGCACAGCCTCGTCTTCAATGTACACGCACATGTACATGCAGTCTTACCATCAATTCGATCCAATTATATTTCAACTTGATTTGCCCTTTATTGGCGCCTGAAATCTGATCCATTTCACGACGAGAATCTATCCACGTGTGGTATTCATGTTTCTTGGCTTTAAACGGTCTTTACAAACAGTCTATGCTTGAGAATAAAATGCGTTAATTATCACAATCTCATCTTACCCTACAAGCCCAAGGAGATTTTGGAAGTTGTCGGGTCTCTCTCAGGTCTGTTACTCTGCGAAAATTTTCCATCCCATGTCGAACTTTAACTGATTTCTGCCCAACAGCTATCATCCAAAGGTGCGATTCGCATCTAGAGTGTCTCATGTACTGTGATCGTCTCAATAGAGCGTTGGACATCCGTAGTACTTTTGGTGACTTTAACAAGGCTGCGAAATCACCTGAGGATACTTTGGAATTTCCATTGCGACAGAATTATCTTTCGAGAGGTATCGAGATAGATTCCCATCACCATTTAATTCAACGAATTCGTTTGCCGGTGATATTTTCGTCGCAAAGGACTTTTCAGCATGACGGCAGAGAGTCTTGACACCAATAAAATTAAAGAATGGCGATCTATAATCACACTCATTGTTTTTGTCATAACTAGTAAGTACCAAAGATTTCTCGAACACGCTGCTTTTCCAGGAAGGGGTAGTTAACTTTACCTGAATCACATAGATATTATTGTCCTGTTCCCTTTTCATGTTCCAGTATACGTTCCTCGAAAATTATCAAACGCTTTTCTGGATACCTTAAGTCATTTGCGATTGATCTCGCCAAGGGAGGAAGATTATCAGCATGATCACCCAGATGGCGAAAGTGGAAAAGTCACGCGTTTCGTTAAATTGAACTTCCCTTTGAATTTTGTGACAGCACCTTTGATAGCAGATCTTTTTCTACTCGCTATCTTGGCAATCGGCCGACAAGAAGTACACGATGGGACAGTCGGAGCAAACAGTATCAATCCGATTGATATTATGGTTTTCTTCATCACCCTAGCATATATTGCCATTTCGATCGATGCTTCTGGTCTCATCAGATATTTGGCATTCAAAGTGCTTCAAAAGGGAGGCAAAGTTGGGCATAGACTGTTCTTCTTCCTCTACGCGTTCTTTTTCTGTCTGGGGGCCTTTATCGGAAACGATCCCATTATTCTGTCTGGTACTGCATTTCTTGCTTACTTGACTAGAGTATCGAGTAATATCATTCATCCAAGAGCGTGGATCTTCACTCAGTTCGCAATCGCCAATATCGCCTCGGCCATTCTTGTCTCTTCTAACCCAACCAATCTTGTTCTAGCTGGTGCATTCGGTATCAAATTTATCAATTACACGGCGAACATGATCGTTCCAGTTGTCGCAACAGCGATCGTTTTATTCCCATTCTTGCTATATATCGTCTTTGCTGATGAGGCTCTGATTCCACTTTCGATCAAAATGCATGAGCTCTCCGAGGAAGCCAAGGCCAAGAAGCCTGTAAACCCGAATATTCCTAATGCTAAAGGAAGCTCCGGTGAGGAACAGGAGAATGAACCCTCAGAAGATAAACAACTTTCTCTTGAGGAAATTATGAATCCTTTTGTCGATAAAAAAGGCGCAGCATTTGGAGCTATTCTCATGGCCATAACACTCATTATGGTTCTGGTTCTTAATGCTATTAGTCAGAGTAAAGGCGAGTATCCAGTGTTCTGGGTAACTTTGCCAGCGGCCTTTGTGATGTTTGTTTGGGAGATTTCATTAGGGTGGATCAACCGACATGAAACACGCGAGATCGCTCGCAACGGACGACACGAAGTCGAACTTGCCCGAGCTGAGCGAGCGATCAGAGAAGAGCAAGAAGCGAGTCAAGTCATTTTGGAACAAGAGAAGCGAGATATTCAAAGTCCGAATGGAGCATCTTTGATGCTAACAAAATCGCCCGAAGAGTTCGAGATGAAGTCGCTGGAAGGCGAAACTGGCCCAGGGAATAGTCGAACCCCTACGCTCTTGGTATCAGAAAGCTTCAATGAGCAAACTCAAAAACCCAGTGATCGCTTGGACTCATCTATCTCAACCCTTGTTCCAACAGAAGACAATTTACAAAACAGTCGCTCTTCGACCAGTGCAATGAGCACACTAGACGAGAAGAAGGAATCAAAGCTCGCCGAATCTCCTTCTTCCCCATCAGGAGTTCTGGGACCTCAAATAAGTCATGAATCGGAGTCAAATGATCGAGCAATATCCGAGAAAGCTTCCCGCAAGGTCGAGCTTCAAAAACAGCGCGGACGTTCAACATTAGTTTCGCTTTTTAGCGAGGCATATCTATGGTGTCAAGAAACATTTCCAACTGTCACAGCAGTAGTTGCTCATCTTCCCTTTGCCCTTGTTCCATTTGCCTTTTCAATGTTCGTTCTTGTACAAGCATTAGTAACCAAAGGATGGGTTCCAGTATTCGCTTACGGCTGGGATCACTGGGTCGATAAGACCGGTACCGTTGGGGCTATTGGCGGTATGGGATTTCTCTCCTGTATTCTCTGTAACGTGAGTATCTCCTTATCAATATCTGGGCTCTCTCAAAACTAATCCAACTTCTACTATAGTTCGCAGGTACAAACATCGGCACTACAATCCTTCTCTGTCGCGTAATCCAAGCATGGCAAGAGATCCATCGTGACAATGGTCTTCCTATCAGCGATCGCGCTTTCTGGGGAACAGTATACTCGATGGCTGTTGGTGTAAATTATGGCGCATTTAGTACGGCGTTTAGCGCCTCGCTAGCTGGCTTGTTGTGGAGAGATATTTTAGGGAGGAAACATATTCATGTTAGAAGACTAGATTTTGCAAGGGTTAATTTACCGATTATCGCTATTTCGATGGCGGTGGGGTGTGCGGTACTTGTTGGACAAATTTATGTGGTGAGGGGTAATGGTCGTTATGATGCGTGAGTGGCTTTTGATCGTGAGAGAGGGGGAAAATAGACTTTTATTGTGTATGTATGTATGTATCATGATGACGAAATTAGATTTACATTTCTTGCTAGTGTCATCTGAAGGATGAAAAGACCACTTGTTATTGTCTCGAAAACTTTTAAAAATTGGTTAGTGGTTGATTGTTTGATTTTGATGTAGAGTTTGAGATTGTGATGACGTTACAGAGGTACCTGACTCGTTGACATCTTCTCCTTCTCCATCATCTTTCTTCACATCCCGGATCCCACTCCACTCCCAACTGAATCACACATCTCTCTACTTTCCGAATCTCAGAATCCCCATTCGAAAAACCACTAAGATACAAAGCCTCCTAACTTCGTATATCTCATGTCTAACGAAGAAATATACACACTATATTTCAACGTATATGCAGCTATCCTTCTCCCGATTCCTTCAGCAGTTGACGTTGCCGTGTAAGCGAAGGAAAAGAGATCCGGAGAGTGAATCTTTGGAGAAGAATGGAGTCGAGATGATGTGTTTTGGGTGTTGGAAGAGGTTTTTAGAGAGATCTATTGGGTTTGTAGGACTTTTTAAGGTTTACTTTTTATAGAAGGAAATTGGAGGGGGAGTATGGGAGTTATCTTCGAAGAGTGAAGAATGGAAATGTAGAAGAGTTGAGGTTTGGAGAATTGCATCTTTGTGATGAGAGTATCTAATACGGATTAAGTGTCAAGTTCTGTTTGATTACTGAGGATTTTATGCTATGAGGGCCAGATGTCTGTCGCATTATGCACGAATTCTCAACTACTTCTTGACTAGGTAATAAATATGGTGTGTTTTGATCTGATCATCACGAGATGCACACTTGATATGAGATTCCAGAATAGTGCAATCTAGGTATTCGACGGTACCATTAATATAATGGACTCTTCTCAATATATGGAATCTCAAAGGACGCTCTTGTGGTAACACTGGGAATAGTTTATATTATATTCTCATCCATCATCCAATATTCCTAGCATATACAAATCGTATCTTTGGAATCTGCCACCCATAGCCCCTTTCCCGACGAGAAAATAGACGTTCCAAACCCGGATAAATCCCTCTATCATCCAATTGAGGAAATCTCAATCCATCATCCCTATCTACTTCCCTCTTCACATCCTCCAACCTCCTCCTCACTCTCTCTTCTGCATCAACCATCTCAAACGAGACCTCGGTATCTCCTTTCCCAACTCCCTGACCCCCCTCCACATCAAGCACAAAATAAACCTCTTCCAAAAACTCAAACAAATACAACACGCAAACTAACCCATACCAACCAACCTTAAATCGCTTCCTCCAATAATAACTATCCTCCTCATAATCCAAAACCGCATAATCCAGCGCCACCTTCCGCACATCCTCGTATCTCTGCATATGGCTCTCTGGATAACCAATCGATAGCTTCTTGACCGTTGGAATTCCTTTGAACCAGAAAATATCGGTGTCCCAATTTACCAGATCGCTTCCGGGAGAGGCGAGAAAAGAGGTCGAGTTGAAAGATGTGGATGCCGGATGTCGAATCGGGGGTTGGGGCTGAATGTGCATTCGTTGTAGAGTTTCTAGCCAGCAGGTTTGTTGGTAGATAGAGCGGGACTCGTGGGATATGAGGAGCGAGGGATGGAAATGGGGCGAGCGGGATAGTGTTAGAGGCCAGGGATCTGAAGCTGTGGGTTGGGAGCCGAGAGCGGTGATGTGGATGCGGGGAAAGGTGAAATAGATAGTCCATATCATGGCGCGGATTTCGGAAGGAAGTTGGGAGAAGAAGCGGAATTCTGGGAGAGGTTTGATGGGGGGTTTGATCGGAGATGTGCGGAGGGGTGTGAGTGTGAGGAGTTTGGAGAGCTGCCGAGGATGGTATGGTGAGAGGAATGTCTTGATAGATCGTTTGGACTTTGGATGGATGGGTAGGAGGATAGTGTCTTCTTGTTTAGTATGTGATAAATGCATGGTGATTATAGTAACCAGATTTATAATTTCAAGACGATGAGTTCTTCGAAGTCCTTATAATATCAAATGTGTTGACGATCAAATTGAGCATTTATTAAATAAGAGCTTCCAGAGAATCTTCCACAAATATTCCAATAGTATTCGTCAAAATCCCAGTTCCTCAAAACACGAAAAGAAGCATCTAAAATAAGGAATTCAATCCAAACGCACGCCAATGCATCCCAATACTTATAGCCAAACGCATCCCTATTCCTCTCCTAATCATCCTCTCAGATTTCCTCAGGCCAGTTTCGACGTGGATGATACATGCATATACCGTAAGCACTAATATCCACCGATCCGGGATTTTCCAAACTCGACCTCTCGGAGGGTTTACCTTGATCCACAATTGGACGGTGATGCATGTAAGACATATGGAAAACACGTGGCACCCATGCACCCCTCGTGCCATTCATTACTGAACAGAGCATACCGCATCTTGTAGAGTTGTTGAGATGAACTTTTTGGGGTTGCATTTGGTTTGAGAATGCAAGTCGAACCGAGGAGAAATCTTTGTTGGTTTTATGTGCCCAGATGGATTAACCTATCCGGTCTAATGGTATTAAATTAGTATCAATCAATACGCTTTTTTCTCTCACTGATTCATATCTGTATATTGTATAATTACAAAACTGCTTCTCTATTTTATGTAATATTTTGATTTATATCTAGAACGTATTGAAACTATATAATTTGAAGCTTTTTAGAGAAAGGTTAATGTTACGTTATTTTGCGTTGGAAAGGGGCCATGATATAGTAAAGTAATAAATAAATTTATTTATCAAAAGTAATATCAACACACTACTATGTAGTATATACAGTATCGGAACCAAATATCGAAACGACTATCCACAATACAGTCAAAGAAGCAAAATTTCTAATCCCTCCTACATCCTCCAATCCATTCCAATTTAACGTATCTATTCCATCTAAGGATACAACAAAATGTAATCTAAGCACCCCTAGTAGACAGGAATCTTAAATGCATCAAAAGTGTAAGTCCAGCTGTCAATAGAAGCCTCATCATTGACACAATCGAAAGTAGTGCTGTTGCTCTGCCAGAGGGGACGAGTCGGCCATTGACAAAGCATCTGAGTCTCGCCTGCATATGTGCCCGAAGATACAGTTGCATTGAGAGCAGTTGGCTTGACTCCATTTTCAACCCAATCGATCATAATTTCCATATTGTTCTCAGGATATGGACCAGGCTGAAGGGAGTTGGTCCCGCAATGGGCTGCACCAGGAACAAGGTAGAATTGATACCAGTCCTGGAGTGCCTCTAGACTCTCTTCGGCAGTTGCATTGCTGTACATGGCGGAACGAACAGATTGCCAGTAGTGTACGGATGAGGCGGATGGAATACTTGGATCAGATTCACCGTGGTAATGAAGCAACTTACCCCCAGAAGATTGAAAAGTAGTTAGATCAGGAAGGGTAGTTTGTAAGCTATCCATGTATCTCACCATACCAATGTTCATCCACTCAACAAGAGTATCATAAGTAACATTATCAAGGTCGGAAAGATTGTCGAGATCGAGCAATTGAACGTACTTGGTGACATACATTCCTCCAGTAGATGGAATGCTAAGTTCCCAGGATCCAGTATTGTTGTTGTACGTAGTAGCGGCGTCTCCAAGGTTGGAAGCAATCTGCCAGGAGAGGTATGCACGTTCATTATCGGAGTTGTGGAGACCGTCATAAATGGCTTGAGCGACAGCGATACCCTCAGCAGTTACTGTTCCATTCTGAGCAGGTGTAGTGCTGGTTGTACTACCTTCTGCACGCTTACTAAATCCGAAACCGAGAGAAGAGGAGGTAGTTGCTGCGCAGTAGTATGATTCGCCGATAATCGAACTGAGGTTGAATTTGAGCTTGCAAAGATCTGTGCGAGAAACCACACCATCTGTTCGTCCATCGAGAGGATCGCAAGCAGCAATGGTAGCATTCACAATTTTATCCAGTTCGCAAGGTGGTGGGTAGTAATCTAATGTGTGTTCAACAGCGGATGAGAACACGTGATGAACTTGTTGCTGCGCGAAACGGAAAGCTGGAGCACCCGCGATAACTCCATCGTATTCCTCACCCCAGCGTTGAACTTGACTCATGCCCTCTCTTCCTCCATCAGAGCATCCTTCATAATAGGTGTAGACCTTTGTGTCATCGGACAAGCCGTAAAAGCCCTTCGTAAGCGTCTTTCCAACCTGAGTCATCTCACCTAATGCTTGGTACCCAAACATATACGTCGCGTCCCAGTTGATGGATCCATTACCATATAGGACTACCTCATCATAGCTGTAGTCGAAAGCATCGTATCCTGCATCAGTGGCACCACCAACAGCACCATATGCAAGCCCTCCAGTTGCATCACTGGAAAGAGAATAACCACCTCCACCACCAACATAGAAGCGGTTTTCGAAATCGGAAGGACTTGGGAAAGCATACTTCATGACCACCTTATCGCCTTTTCCAGTGTGGGTGTAGGTAACTGTAACATTGCAGTAGGTGTATGTGATAGTACTACCCATACCAGCAGATGCATTGTAAACAGCGCCCGCTGTTACGGCTGAAGGGATCAAATCGATACCTAGCAAGGTTCCATTTGCAGGTATGGCGGCCTGAACATTGGATACAGTGCATACATCAGAAAGCGATGCAGCATTCACTGTCACCGCAAGAGCTGCGATAGCCGTGCGCGAAGATTGGCGCATATTGATGAACCGAGTCAAAGTATTGAACGAGAGGAATTAAAGTGAACCAAAGAATGCTCGATTTAGCTTAGAACAACGAATGTGAAGCAAGTGCCGAGAGTAAATCATCATCGGTACTTGCAAGCCATTATATATACTTTAATGCCAGCTTAATTAAGGGTTTAAACGGGGCCGTTCATCATCATGACCTTGAGATGAAGACGACCAGGAGTAACTTGTCGCCGCGTCATGTGTAGACGTATAGACAGACCCGTAAGATTAGCTCAAGATATAGAAACAATAATAGGTGATCGTCTTGTCAAAACGAAGCGAAACGAAACGAAACAAAATTCCAAGCAGTCCCCTCCTTAGCATTCGACTACACCTCTCTTCCCGGCTTCGTAAGCTCCGTCGAGAGGATGTCACTGCATAAGCTTAAAAACGCATATTACCCCGGTATAGGGCTGGGTTGGAATTTCCCTATTGTTACGAAGTACATGTGGCTTATAGTAACTACCGTGCAGGGTTACGTAATTACCTAGCTAAGATCTCGGTTTAGAGTGTGTAGACTCCACTTCATCCACATCGCGTGGTGGATCGAGATAGACCTTATATAGACGACGATGTCACTGGATGCGAACCATTGGTGGCCACGCTGCTTCTTGGCAGTGAGGTAGTACCACCTAGTTATAGTATTGATGACTTCGGGACCGAAACTCTGGATTGACTTGGCCGCAGCAGTCATTGTATAATTGTGCCGCGTGTCGCTTGCCCTTTGAGATCATGGTTAACGTTGTCAAGCTTCATGCGATATTATAGTAGATGATGTTCAAGTCTTCCATATTAGATTGGTGTATATGAATGACTGCATTATCCACTGCAATATGTATAAATTATATGGTATAAAACTAATAACATACTCAAGTACTAGAAGCTTATGAATTCCTAAGTGTTGTAGCTACATTTTTTAAACATAAAGATATTCAATGAATCTCCTCCTCAGTAGGCGATATTGAAGTTATCTTCATTGGAGTTTATTCGAATTATTGAATCCCAGTATTTCCACATCTTTTTAGTAGTGTATAATATCATTTGATAATATCAATGATTTCCGTGATATGGTATTCGATTAGAATGCGTAATACAAAATGCAATACGTCTCACCGCAGTGGGGCTTATACTCAATACTTTGTATACTTTTTCAATCACTAGGGCTTGAACTACATGCGGACCAAAGATAGATACATATTTATGGATTTGAATGTCAAAGTTTGGATGAATTTCAGTACAGGACGAGAGCACCCACAAGGGAGCTGTCGATATTCTACAAAGTGACCACAAATAAAAGGCGAAGCAAAGTAAACTAGGAGGCGTGCCATGGAAAGGTTGCAGACATGTAAACACGTCTTTGATTAGCCTGCCTTATTACGTGGAAAAAGGCAACGAGTTTCCAAACTACCTTCACCTCACCCCTTTTACTAGTCGGCATGAATATCAAAGGCAATGAATGCATGAAGTGATAACCTTGGTCTGGGCTCGCCCCTATTTTACTGATAGATGATGACGATAATAGCGGTGACAGAAAATCAAACTGGTCAGCCATCAACACTCGGAGTAGAGTGCCACGTTTATGGCGCAGGAAAACTGACGAATCCCTATTTTCAGCTTCAAAGAGTCGGGCGGAGAATGAGCTGCAAGATATTGTCTCAAAGCCGTTAGGATAACCAACTGAGCAGATTATGTTGCCCCATCCATGAGGAAATAGATTGCAGCCTACAGATAATCAAACGGATACGTTCTATTTTTGATTCGGACAATTGTGCCCGAACCGTAGCACGTATTGTCTTGAGGCAAGTTCCGTAGAAATTTAATAAGATCGTAACACTGGAGCATAAATAAAGTAACGCCACGCTCAACTTGGGTTGCGAAATGCTGTCGAATTTTCATCACCACTACCATCGATATTCTGGCTATTCGTTAGATCTCTGAACCACTAGAATTGAACTCATGTAATTTGCATGGTTCATCTTTCACACGAGAACAAGGCAGTGTCTGCATCGCAAAGTATAACGCAAACTACGAAAAGGAATTTTTCAGATGTATTTCCAAGTGTTCGTAACGAGCACAATGGATTCATCATCTGGAACGGCATGAAAACTCTAGTAAATTACAGGTCCAAGACAACCCAGGGTCGGAATTGTTCATCTGTTTGGCGCTTCTTGTTCTTCGAAGTTAAGAGTGGGCGATGTGTTAGATTAGCTGATACAAGGTGTGTAAAGTTACTTACAAGTGAAAGTTTTAGAGGGAGTAAGATCTGATGTGTAAATACTTATCAAAGCCGTAGATAATGTTGTCGTTAGGCCCACAATCAGGGGATCACAGATCAGACCTTTCAGTCTGGCGTTCACATTCGCGTTCCAAAGAACCCCGTTAAGTGAGATAGTCGAGCAAAATTCAATGATGATATTGAAGCTAGATTGAACAAAGGTATCAAAACAAACACTAGATTATGCGATTCAATAGTCTTGTATCTGCAAAGCTAACTTCTTGAGGGGCATGTAACGGATGAGTTTCACCACTATGACGGCCAAAGTGACCGCAATTATGAAAGGCATGATCGCTATTAGGGTCAATTTCAAAGTTTAGTTATTCCTATTTGTGTAATGAGAAAGGCGATACAAAATTTGGTTAAGAGAGTGTAGGCAACGACTAATACTTGAAAAAGACGTTATATTTGAGGACATCAATGCTTCATTTTGTTGGATCTGAGAGATACTCTACATCTCTTTCACAACTTGTTGGAAGATAAGATTTATCGATACAAAATCGATCAAGAACCCCATGAGTGAGTGTACGCACTAACAGCACATTGAAAAAAACTGACATAGCAATACTTCTTGCAATTTTGATTCGAAAATCTTAAAGATTATTACAAAGATTCACTACAGACTGAACAATCGAACAATGGATCCTAATATTAATCAATTATAGAATGAATTTGTTACCGATTTGAAAGTTGAGAAATATTCTATCAGTTCATACACCCACAAGAGTTCCTAAGTTGAGTTATTCATAATGATTGTCGCGCCTATAGATATAATGTTTCCCAGGCAAACGCGATCAGTATATCATTATATTCCCAATACTAATATACAATCGAACATAAGTCCTTAGTACAACGAGCAACAAACGCAAGATTGATAAGATTCAATGATCTACCAGGTCGTCGGTTCCGCGGATCGTGTCGACTAGCAGTAGTTTAGCTATACTTTTATTTAGAAGAATCAAATAACTATAAGATGAAATTAACTGATGGTACAAAAGTCTGACAATTCTTATACGGGTAGATTTGAGTTCAGATTGAAAGTGAGAAGAAGAATCAGAAATTTGTAAACTTACACAAATTAATATTAATGATTGAATAGTGTGATCTGTCTAACCAATAAGCTTCTTAACAATAGAACCTATAGATTTAAGCGATATCAGCGGTACTATACAGGTAGATATTATATGGAGATCTGAATATTACAATTGAAAGACTGCTTTACTCTGAGCTTAACTCTTTTAATTAATGCTCTAATGAATAGTATACAATTCAGATTCCTATCTAAATTTGGTTGAAAGGTAAGATACAAAAATCTATAAAATTCCGTAGATGGAATACCGATTTATTTAATTCTCTTGACTATAGTGTATATTACTTAAACAAATCTCAAATACAGAAGAGTTACTTCCTCTAATCTAATGACTAGCTCTAGGCCGTATCATGTTATTATGCGGCGGGTTCGGTTAAGATAATTTCTCAGGAGATACTTCCGCAAGTTTTTTTCTATTTTTGCATCTTGTAATGTACAAATTTTACTCGATTAGATTATTGTATTGTTAATGTTATATATATGAATGTGTACTCGCTAAATAGACTTTTAAGGACAAGAAATAAGAAAGCGTATCGGTATCAAGATAAAGGTACCCTAAGCTTTAATTGAAAATTTCCATGTGCACAGACAGAAGGGGGGAGGGAAAAGGCCGATAAACAAGCGAACGCATCTCCCACCATTTTGATGTTCGTAACAAGCTAAGGAAATCATATACCGAACTTTGTGTTGTATGATACTTAAATGTACTTTCTAAAATTCTAGTACTTTCATTCAGCTTATAATTGTTCAGTGATTATGATCACCTGGACTTTAGGATAGAACTTCGGTTTCTCAGATTAAACTCCTCCATATGTACGGATACGCAGTCGCCTCTAAAAGGAGATTTGGTCCCGTAAGATGGAGCGGTATTCAATGACGAATGCCAATATTTCAGTAAACTCAATTCCTTGATACAATCAATCAACACACGTTTCTGCGAAAAAACATCACATGCACACATGTTTTACTAAGACATGCAATCTATCCCACGTTTTTCAAGCAACTAGTTGTGTTAGATGGATATACCAACGTGTATGTACATGGAAGATATGCAGGGGTAAAGGAACAAATTCATTCTATCAACCTTCTTCATATGGAGAAGGAATGCTAGAATATCTGGTGTTCTCACCCCACTCTATGAATGGATATGCCACGTACACAGTATGCATGAGAGCGGGATGGAATATGATCAATGTAACCATTTTACACGTCAGTATTCCGACAGGTTGGAACGCACTCTTCTCCGCTGAGCCCCGCATATAAGCCAATCAACCCAAATTGTGTTTCTTCAGACGTTGAAATTTAAATAAAGTTTATTAGTCGATTTGCTAGAACGATGCCACCCTCATCTAGCTAATGCAATTACATTACCGAAAAACCGTTTAAACTTTGGCACCGTTGATACCGTTGGTATCGGTGAAGTTTTTGATAAGAGCATTGCCGGAAGAAGGAGTAGCGACAACCAGTAGCATGATCAAGATTGAAAACAGGTTGGCGTTAGCTTCCAAGGTGGTATCTAGGGCTGCACCCGAGTTGTTGGAAAGTCAATCACAATACTTTGTAAGAATATAAAAAGCCCAATCGCTTTGCAGCCCAGTCCAATTCAACAGTATCATCTTGAACGCTCTACTTTGCTTGTTTTACCTGCCACCATGCCTACCGAAGAGATTTTTGCTCAGTCCCCTCCCTTCCCCAACGATGTTCCAACAGCTGAAATCCCTATAATCTCATACAAAGCCCTGCAGAGCAATTCTTCCTCTGAATCGGGAAAGCTCTTCGATTCTTGTAGGGAACATGGTGTTTTCTTACTTGACCTGCGTGGTTCCGAGGAAGGAGAAGTACTTCTAAAAGATGCCGAATCCATGTTCAAGATTAGCAATGCTACTTTTGATCTTGAGCAGAATGAGCTTATGAAATTCGTCAGCGATCCCCCTCGGGATCTCAGAGGGTAAGTACACAAGCAAAGCTTATTTTAATTTCGCAAGAAAAAACATAGACTGACATCTTGATCAGCTATAAACCAGTTGGAACTCTGAAGACTGGCGATGGCAAATTCGATGCCATTGAAGTTTACAACGTCAACCAGGACGACGCACTTGGTCTTGAGCCAAACCCAAAACCCGATCCTTATCCATTCGTTGAAAACAGATCTTCGGTTCAGTCCTTTTTCCGCCGTGCGCATTCTGGGATCTGCGCTGTATTTTCTCATCTCGACAATCACCTTGGACTCCCGTCCGGAACCTTAGCTTCTACTTGCCCAATTGATAAGCGCTCAGATACATCCCTTCGCATGGTATTTACACGCCCCCAACCCGTTGTTGACCACCGTGTTGCGTTTGCGAGTCATACCGACGTCGGTTTGATAACCATGCTGTTCAATGTCGTTGGCGGCCTTCAAATCCTCCCTGCAGGTGTCGAAAACAAGAATGAGAATTGGTTATACATAAAGCCACAACCGGGCTGTGCAGTGATCAATTTGGGAGACACTTTGGTCGAACGTACTGGCGGTGTATTATGTAGTGCGTTGCATAGAGTTATAACACCTCCCGGTGAGCAGGGAATGCATGTCAGAAGGAGCTTAGCATATCTGGTCCGGTGCGAGAATGATGGGAGTATGAAAAGGTTCAAGGGCAGTGGCATTCCAGCCTTGGCGAACGAAGAGGTTGATCAGTCAAAATCCGTGCGAGAGTGGGGTGAGTGGAGGATTAGACAGATCATGAACGGGGACTTAAAGCCGCAAACGATGGGAGGAAAAGCATTCGTCAGGACTCCTATTATCAGTGTATAAGTCTAATAAATGTTACGGAAAAGTAAACAAATCTAGCAAAGCTCTAAACGACCTTGTATTTTCATTATTCGATGTGTCGTAATTGAGTGCTCACTAAGAGCAGATCGAATCTTGTAAATTCAAAACATCTCGTGCGTAGAAGTGTATATCAAAAATGATATTGTAGGGAAATTGATAACCCCCATTTAAAATGCTAGGTGTTTGAAAGTTATTCAGAATTGATCAATGTACTGTGTAAAGTTTGAGTTTAGGAATTGAATAGGAAACTGCCTCGGCTAACTAACGGCGAATTCAAACAGTGCTATCCAAAAATGTGATCTTATCCCTCTGGAATAAATACTGGAATAAAGATTGCTTGGGTGAGCAACGTGAATTCTTGAATTGCGGGCATACATTGAATAAATTGTTAACCACAGCAAGATGGTGAATATCTTATGAACCCTTTTGCACAAAGTCCTTGAGAAGAGAAGATATATAGAACAGAACCAAGGGGAGACACGAGTTGCAACTTGCCGCACGTTAAGCGGCGACTTGGCCCCGACAAAAACACCTCCTACAGACAAGTAGCGCAACCCGGCCAGATTTCCAAAAGTTGACGATATAAAAGTCAAAAAATTTCTTTGGTCCAGATTTGGATCACTGGTTTGCCGAAGGCAAGATGATAGGGCCTTCGGTAATTAAGGATATAGATTTTGGTCTTTAAAGACGAGATATCGACGATCCATAACAACAAAGATTGAAAGAAATGCTTGACAATGCGTCTGCCTAATAAGGGGACAAGAAAGCCCGTTTTATGTCGACTCCTCAGACTCTCACGTTTTCATCGGGTCTCCGAATGCTCTCACTGTCCCACTACAAAGTCAACTCTACACCTCCCTCAACCGCTGTTTTAAATTCCTGGAATGTCCTTATCACTACACTAAGTCGAATCTACCGACACCATTTGGGTCTGTACATGTGGTGCCTTCAGCGTGGCAATGGACAACTATCACGATCTTATTTGGCACAACACCAAATACCGAAGTGGTTACTTTTTGTCTTTGTAGCCTGGAACTTTAGACTGAAGGGTCAAGTATTAAAGAAAAAAATAGGGGAGCCACCTAATTACTTCGATGAAGAAAGATGCTCAATATTTCAGTTGGCTCCGGTCTAGGATGTCTTTAGAGGAATCGTAGGAAAACCGGGCTGGATATATGACGACGAGAGTGTCACAATTGGAGAAGGCGGTGGAGTAGTTATGATCTTGGGGGGTCATCTTCGTAAAGAAAGGGTTAGACATCAAGTGTCCCGCGAAGAAAAAACAAGTACTGATGGGACTAATCGAACCAAGGGTGATTGGAGCTTAGAAATTGAAATTGAGAAAATCGCGATTTTGAGGGATCGCATTGATGAGAGCGATGAAGAGTAGATCGGAAAGCGCCGAGAAGAAGTAGGGTCAAACAAAAATAATAGTATCTCTTGATAGTAATATGAAAAAAAAAACGTGCTATACCTTTAAGCGAAATGAAAACTTCTGATACCTAACATTGCGTGCTGGATGACGAGAGAACTTGACGAGAAGGAATTTGATTGGCTCAGAAGTTTGCCGAAGAGGTGTGTGTTTTATCAATTTAAGAGACATGAAAACAGATGTAAAAGCTTTGACGAGATCCAGATTCAAGTTCGATTTCGAAACAGCTAGAGGCAGGCTCATCTTCAAAACTTTGTCGTCTCCCTTTCGAGATTATCAATTGAGTATAAGATTTGTTCTCATTGCATTTATTCGATTATTCCTTATCAAGTCGATCGATCCTCTCCCTCAGTTTCCCGATCTCCCTAGGCGTAGTTTTGCAACAACCTCCCACAATAATATCCTTCCAGAACCCCCTATCCCTTGCCCTTCTAACAATCTCAAGAACCGCCTCATCCCATTGCAAATCTTCTTTTCCGGGTGGCTCCCTAATTTCCCATACTTTGGTAGAGGTATTGTAGACTTCTCCCTTAACCGTTCCATCAGGATATACTACCAAAGATGGCCATTCACTGACATCCCCTTTCTCGATTAGAGCCTTGACTTCTTGCTCGAATTCCAGTATCAAAGATTCAACTTTTCCGACTTTGGTGCAGTTCAGACCGATTCCAAATGGTACTGGAGAACCGTCTTTGTTGCCCAGCATTGCTTGCACAATTTGCTGCACAGAGCTTCCACCTGGTAAGCAATTTCCTTCGCCAGGGAATACACATGTAATCCAAAATGGCTTGCTTCCAGCCCTTCCACCATTCGAGTTTTCAACTTCTCCCATAGATTTTCTTACACCCTCAATTTCCTCCAATAATGGGATGGTTTCAAATGCCACATAATCAACTCTATCCCAGCATTTTGGATCTCTCGAGAAAACCGAAATTCTTTCATGGTGCCATGAGCTCAGTTGCTCGCTCGATTTATGGTCATCGTCATATTTTCCCGTATATTCTTGTCCCGGGGTCATGATCGCACCGTATGCACCAAGACTTAGTGCAATTTTGCCATTTGAGTCTTTCTGAGTGGAAAATGCATCGGAAGCGATATTTACAGCGCTTCTCATGATGCTATTTACCTCATCCTTATCCCCATCTTCTTTTCCCGAGTTAGAAGATGAGTGTGAATGAACAGCATATCCTGATCCTCCGAATCCCTCATAACTCGTTTGATAAGTTGCAGTCAACAAAATGTCAGCACCAGCATCCACGAAGGACTTTTGCGTAGCGAGGAGTGTTTTGGGTCCATGGGGATGGGTTGGAATGAGTAGCTGAGAAGACCAGAGAGGTTCTTTTTCTGTGAATTGTACTTGGTGGGAATCACCAAGGGTAGTGCCAAGACCTCCGTCAAGGAGGTGGATTTTACAACCGGGGGACATTTTGAGAAGCTGTAAAATCTGGCGAACACGGGATAGAGGATCGACAGAACCAATGACAGTTGGAAAGTTGGACTACGATATATGTGAGGTACAGTAGAGGGCAGATTGAAGATGAAAAGTATGCGAAGTGGGGTATTCAAAGGGTTTTCTCTCGGCCCGCTCTCGCTGAAAAGATGGCGCTATCAATGGATAGCCTTACGCGGCAGATTAAAAGTTACCTAAGAGGACGCGAGCGATGAGTAGTTTGAGGTTTTAGACTTGCTCTTGCTTTGAAACAACAGCATCTACATAACGATTTTGTGTGAACGACTCCAATCATGCTTATATCATCCATACAGAATTCCTACTCCTCCCTAGAAAAAATGAAATTTATGATAGCAAAATTTTGGAAAGACTGATCAAAGTCTCTTCTTTTTGCAGTCAAGATGAGAAGTCAGGCGTGTGTATATTCCTTGGAGTACACTTGAAGTATATTGTCTCGATTTGTAGAAGAGAAAGTAAAGCTTGATGTTCCAGCTCTTCTCTACAAATAACCAATTGCTCTCGCCCAAAATTTGTTTGCATGCACGCGAGTATTATTGCCAAGATTTTCACATGTCCGCCACATTTCCTTACGCCACACCTATGACGCAGCAGCCAGTCAAGTGAGTCCAGGTATCACTTATCATTTCTTGAAACTCGAGGTGTCCTTTCCACCTCTCATATACATATTTGCGGCCGAATCTGCATACCTAGAACTCTTTTCTACATATGCTATATCTTATTGAACACTTTAATACTGCACGAAACCCTAGGTCATTCTTGTTAAGTACCGCATCCTATTAGCATTTTGATCCCGGAAGAATGACATTACCTTCAGATTATTGTGAGTTCTAGCGTTCAGATATTTCCACTCACCCATTGAGATAGCCAACATGCTAATAGTTTTCATTTGCTAGATGCCGTTCTTGGCGTACCATCCACTGCAACCCAGCAACAGATCCGCAATGCCTACAAAAAGTACGAACTCCTTGCCGTGCCCCTCTCTCCTGAACACCAACTAACCTTCGTCACTCAATAGAGCAGCTTTGAAAACCCACCCCGATCGGGTTGCCTCTGACTCCCCCGAACGTGCGGAAAGAACCCGTAAATTTCAACAAATCAACGACGCATACTATACCCTCTCTGAACCCACCCGTCGCCGCGATTATGACGCTGCTCGCACATACCATGGATTTGGTTCTGGAGCTTCCACAGCCTCTACATCTATGGACGATGATGAAGAAATTCCCGATCCATCTGCTGGACCTGGTGGATTCCCCTGGTCTAGTTTTGGCTTCTCGTCACAGGCGAAGAATCCAGAGGAGGAAGAGAAGTTTCAGGACGCACAATTTGGAGATGTATTTGAGGAGATGTTGAGAGAAGAGGGAATGGCAGAGAATAACAATTCTCCTACCGGGAAGTTCTGGAGTATGGTGGGTGGATTGAGTGGAGGGGCTATGGGGTTTATTGTTGCAAACTTTCCGGGAATGTTGGCTGGAGCTGTAGCGGGGAATAGGTTGGGTGCTGTGAGAGATGCGAGAGGAAAGAGTGTATATTCTGTTTTCCAGGTAAGTTGGGATTAGGCGTTCAAATTGGGAGAGGTTGAAAGGAAGTTATGCTAATATGTGCGCTGCATAGGAACTTCCTCAAGGTGACAAGGCAAGACTATTAAGTCAGCTCGCCGCAAAGGTTTTTAGTCATGCTGTAGGTTCATAAATCACGATTTGATACGAATTTGAAGAAATATATTTTGCCTTGGACTTATTGATAATGGAGCTGGCGTTAGAGGATTATAGGGTTAGGTTATTGAAGGTATTGGGCACAGTTGATGCAATACAGCAAGCGAATATGAGATTTATACGAAGGTCGGGTAGCGTGGATAGGTCAAATTATGTATGTAGATATCCAATAAAGCAGCACAAGGAGCTAAGATTTCTATCTTCATAAGGTGAACCAGGTGACGCGTGAAGGGGCTACACTACTACTGACGGAGAAGAAGTTGGACTGAAGCTTGTTACTGGGCATAGCTTGTGAGACTCACTGGGCTCACCAAGAGTATGTGGCTTGGGTCTATAAAGAGACAACTGAGTAAATCCTACTATGTAGCCGAACTCACTCATTGATTCCCCTCATCTAATCACATCATGAAGTTCCATCTGTATTCAAATCTTTTGTATTCAAGACCAGTCACACACCATCACCCTAATCATGGTATCTATATCCGCAAAAGATGCAGGGTTTTGGGAAAGAAAGAAAGCGAGAAAAGAAGAAATCAAAAGAAAAAGAATCGACCCAAATATCCAACGCCAAATCCAACCTGATCAAGATATCCTCATCACGTCATGTCAACTCATCTCTCGTCCAATTTTCAATCATTCCAGACTCCACATCAAATGAACAATTTCGCCAACTTCATCGCTCCTCCTACTCCTTCCATGCCGCCTGCCAACATTCCCAATTTCCCCATTGCGCCTCCAGTGCTCTTCACGCTACTCCTCTCATACTCGTAAGTTCCATTACCTCCATTGCCTCCGAAAAATCCGCCTCCCCCATTTCCCCTTCCCTTTCCGCCCCCAATCAACTTGTCTAGTCCTCCAGGTAGTCTAACCCCGAATTTCTTCAATAGTCCGGCTAGCGCTCCACCTGTTATGAGAGGCATGATCACGAGCATAAATACTTTTAACGGGTGGCGCTTCATGTAATAGATGAGATCGCGCAGGAGTTCGCGCAATTTGGCATAGATGCGTTTCAAGTAGTTGGGGCGAGGAGAACGCTTGTAGTGGGAGGTGGAGCGGGGGATGCCTAGAGGGGAGGTATTTATTAGTTTATTATTCAATTGCGTGATGAGGATATTGAGTCTTAACAGATTAAATTACGAAGACAATAATAGAATTGCAGGAATAAATGGAAATACATACCAAAGAAACTACTCTTACTAGAATTATGTTTCGCATCTCCGCTGCCGAAAATGCTGTCGGTGCCTCGCGTACGACTTCTGGATCGCTCTCGATGGCTATGACTTGATTTGGGGGATTTAGGAGATTTGGGGGATTTGGGAGATGTGCCTCCTAAAACACTTCCGAGGATTCCAGAAGAACTGTTGTGATGGGTAGAATGAGAGGAGGAAGGGCGTTTTTTGCTGGAATGCGAATGTGAGGAGTGACGTTTTGAGGAGTGTGATCGACCTGATTCAGAGACGCCATCAAACCAACCCATCTTTGCGGGATTTTGGAGTTTTAAATCTGATGTGAAGAGAAGAAGAGGGATTGAAGAATTGTTGATGTACTTGAGAGTTATAAAAGAGAATTGGAAGTAATTGAGAGTGAAATTGTAGTGAGTGAATAATGTAACCTCAAACCCTACGGATAGGTAAGGTTACCGATACTCGTCTCGTATCACTAGGTTATGAGGGGTTCAGAGCTTCAATTCTTGTTCGCCCGCCGCTATGTCCAAATAACGTCCCGTCCCTCAATTTTCCGCAATCAATTCAATCGATAATAATCGATAAGAAGAAACAAACTCGTGGAGGAGTGGAGTTATGAACGAACCACCAGTTTCTGCAAAAAATGCAAGACAAAAAAAGAAGTGGAGGAAGAAAAGGTGGTTCTTGACTCTGTCTTCTCGTCTGGAAAAAGAAAAGTAAGCTTGCACGGTTTGCAGAAGCATCTTCTCACAGCTGACAGGTGGACCAAATGCGAACTCCTCTAGGATCAGTGCCATCCCAACCTCCTGAATTCTGGCGGTGAAGAGAAGGCTAATGCATGAATTTTGCATGGCTGCAGGGATGCCCCAGTACACGTGACAATATCAAGAAGAATAGTTGGGGTGCTATTTGTGGGAAGGAAATCCGTCAAGTATGCTATGTGGGAATATCATAGGCGTAGGGTCTTGGGTTTTGAGTTGAAAAGTGATTTGGAGAGTATGATCGTGGGGCACAGAGGATGAAGTGTTTTCACAATTAGTGATTTGCGAGATATGTGGTTTAAGAAAGCATTCGTTGCGTGAGTAGCGTTATTGTGGTCTTGGCCGTAGTGGAACAAATCTATGAACAAAATGCATGATCTCATATAAGAATACCATGAAATTGATGAAACTTTGAATTTTCTCTGGTTAGATAGTTACTATTGTCAAATATAATCGTTCGGAACCGGAACCCATTTATCTAGCTAGCCCAGGGGGTTCAATTTATATCGGCTAAATCTGCGTTCTAACCTTTAGGCTACTTTGATCATGGAGTTCTAGCATGCTTCGTCAGTTTTTGATATCGGTGAAGACAGAATACAAGCATTTTCACACCACTATTCGGGAGAGACTTACTATACTGATTTCTCTTTTAAAATCAGCCCCGTGTAGACATCGACTGCCATATCATAGAGGATCCTTACTACAACCATTTTTATCTTAGCATCCAATCGCAATGCTCCATATCAGCTCTACCTGCTCGGACTACTAGGCACTCTGAGCTACATTTTCTCGTTATACAAAGGGGTGCGTGGACTGACGGGGTGATTTTCAACTTCCAAAACCTGTAACATATTTAATCTCAGATTGGTCAGTATCGGAACCTACCATTTCTTTTTTTGATTTGTAATGAATCATTGAACCATGTTTTAAAGCCTTTCAATCAAAATTCCAAAAGATATTGTAAAGTTCGCTTTAGCAGTGTCCCGTCAATCTGTACACTCATTGATGGACGCTCTTTCGGATGCTCTACAGGGATTGCTATGATGGCATGAGATGGAGATGTAGGCGCCCCCAAGCCAGAATCAGCTGAAACATATCACTGTCTTCGCTTAAGCCTGCTGTCGATATTGCATCAATACAGGCAAGTTTTTCAATATTCTCTGGAGGTCGATCTAGTAATAGTTCGACGATTCTATGACGATGATATTGACATGCCACTGCTAAAGTATTCCATTTCTCAATTGCTTTTGAAGATTTCTGCTCCAGAATTAAGGAGTTCCTCGACCACTTCGAGTCTGTCGCACTTCGATGCAGTACACAGGGCCGTAACATAACAATTTGAATGGTTGAGTTTAGCTCCAGCGTACCGATGTTTCCTGTATACGCTGCCATTTGTAATGGATTTTTTTGATTTGGATGCGAATATCGTCTTTCTCTCATCAAGTCCAACTCTAAAGTTGTTAGTATCACCTACCTCGACCTCTAATTCAATTTCTGCTCCATGCTCAATTGAGGCTTTTGCAATGTTCCCAAAACCATTGCCACAAGCCATATGAAGGGTAGTAACTCGCTGATCTGAGTAGCCACGATCGGCATCGAAAAGTGAAGGGGGTATGTACTATTTGACTTCAACGTCCATAGAAATCCACTGTCTTGTTTCCGAGTTGAGACATGTTGAGACATGTTGACTTGAAGTCGCAATATTTCTTTCTTTCTTTCTTATTCCTTCCAAGAAAGAGTTTGAATAATATTTATGGAACACTTTCGATGGGATGAAAGGTTTAGATCAAGAGCAAGCTGCAGAAAGTCAACACCGCTCGCGCCGTCTGTTGTGTCACTTGAAAACTTGCCTAAATTTTTACACATTCGTGGTTCTCAAAACAATATTGGTCCACTTGTCGACTTGTACTTCCAAGCCTTCCTTTCTCGCCTTCAAACTATGGCCCTTTCTGGTAAAATATGCTAAGAATCATTTTCACCAACGACCCTACAAACAATCATACCAACGACTACTTTCATGCCATCGTCTCAAACCACCTGCACTCGCAAGAAACTCGTACTTCAGCACCACGGCAGAACTTCCATGCTGAGAATTGTCGGCTTCAAGCATTGTGATGAAAGGGTGACGAGTGAAAGATGGGTGAGAGAATGGGTGATGAGTAAAGATAATTTTCTATTTCAAAGCTTCCACGGTTTGCCATTAGAGGAATGCTAGTGAAATTGCAACTTGGTCTCAAATAATCAAAAAACACTTATTCAATCTCCAATATGATTCCAACACTTGCAAGGTTATACCTATTCATAATCCCATCTTTTGTATGTAGTCCTACATACCTACCTATATCAAGATCACGCCTGAAGGATATTGTGGTTGACTTGAACTGGTCTGACCAATCAAACCCTAGTAGAAAAAAAAGCGTTAGCGTGTGCCGCTCCCGAGCCGCTTTTGAAGGAAAAAAAATTGAAGCTGGAGACAAGCGACACAAAGCACGAGTGCCTTTTCAAAGCCCTCCGTAGCCTCGTCTTCTACCTACCTACATTTGTAATTGGAGCGACTGACTCCTCCAAAGAAATTTACCCAAATATGGCGCAAGCAACAAAAGATAGCTTTCTCGACTTGGAGAAGTATCGCCTACAACTTGAGGATAATATAGCAAAACTTCGAAAATCGCTACAGCACTGGCAGACGTGGGATGCTGAATATGATGGCTTGAAAGAAGAAATTCTTTCGGCGGATCCTACCCCAAATCGTGAGGAACTCATCTCTATCGCACGAAATTACGAAGCCGATTTGGTCAAAGGAAAAGAAATCGAAGATATACTTGGTACCAGCACCCAAAGAAGCGCTGAACAAGTTGTGAATCTATTAGATCGACGATTAGATTATGTTCAGCAAAATATCAAAACAATTGAGAAGCAAATCGAGACCGCAGAGGAGAAATTGGCGAAGGCAACTATCATTAGTACTCCGGACGTAAGAAATGAGGAAGGACTTCCTGTAACAGAAATCATCGAAGAGTTGGATGATGAAGGAAATGTCATTTCCTCAAGACTATCAACACCAGGAAATGTAAAGCCACAATTATTAGAGGTACTACACAAAGCTGGAATAATAGAGCCGGTATCAAAGGAAGAATCGGGTGTCGTGGAAGAGGTGAAAGACGATGGACCAGCCAGCAAAGCTTCAATACAAGTTGACACTACCTCCCAGGCGATCGAAACGAAGCGCGTTAAGGAATCCAATTCGCCCACTACATCTTCAAAGCCTGGACCGAAGAGTGTGAAGTTTACAGACGATTCAAAAACAGAGTCCGCGGAATCAAATCCAACAATCTCTCCAGCCGCAAAGCGCCTTGAAGAGATTATGCAATCTGCAAGAGAATCGGAAAAGCTTTCATTTGAGCCTGCCGTCATACCTACCGACGAATCTCCAGAGGATGCTGCTTTACGACGAGATATGTTACAATATGGAATGTCAGAAGTTGGATCTGTAGTGGCGGAAATCAATCTAGAAGATGGAAGTGACTGGGAATCTGAAGACTATGCAGACGATTCTGATAGCGATGATGAGGATCAATTTGGGAAATCGACACGTCAAGTTATGGACGATGAACTCCGTCAACGTATGATTGAACTTGAAGAAAAGCTTGGCGTTAGAATGATGGAGAATGTTGGAAAGAGTTCGGATGATTATGGCATGGTCCAGGAAGGAATCGGCCGGATATCCATCAGTGGCGAGGATACGAAGGATTCTGGAAAGGGGATCCTCACAACCTCTAGCAAGGGAAAATTGAAGGATTCCAATGCCGGTAATTCTGATGACTCTTCAAAGAAAAGCGTCAGATTTGCAGAGGAACTAGATGTTTCACCAGCCCCCGATAAACCAGTCACCTCTTCCTCAAAGGCCGAGATGAAAACTGCCCCCGTGGGAGATATCATTGAGAGAAAAGCTCCAGGGCCATCTTCTTCTGCCCCACCTGTCCAAAAGAAGGCTTCTCGCTTCAAGACATCTCAAGCTCCGTTAAGCAATAGCACTAATGGAATTTCGTCCACCACTTCGATGACCACAAATCCTTCTCACCTCAAATTATTCCCTGCCACTCCAGCTACCCCAAAGCCCTTTTCTCAACCAATTCAATTCGTGCCGGCCATCGAAAAACATCGAGAGGTTCCCACAGGTCCCGCAAACCGTACACTCGCGCCCAACGTTATTGAACGAGACGTACCACATGACACCAATGCAGCCCCACCCGATGAATTTGATCCGCAATTATTACACCAAGAAGTTGCGACTGAATATCATCGAATGAGGAACAAGATCATTGGCAAACAAGGTGGCTTTGGTCCGGAGGAAGAAGGTGAGATTGTACCATTCACGGAAGAAGAGGGGGGTCCAAAGAAAGTTAGTAGGTTCAAGGCAGCGAGACTGGCGAAATCTTGATGTTGGTAGGTGTTTTGTAGACTCCAGAATTCAAATCACGACAAACTTTCGGTGACTAGTCAATACATGTTTCTCTATTGTTGTCAAATCTTGCTATATTTTCTTCAATCGAGCCTCTTCCGCGATCTCATTTCAGCCTGCTGCAATGAATGTTCAGCCAATTAGATGAAGGTTTCAATGTCTCACACATTGCGGAGATTACTGGCAAGCACTTGAAGCATACAGATCAATCGCGCTCTTATCAGTAAGTCATAGATTTCATTTCATAATTAGTTACTGGTATACACCCATGACGCATACTTTTCTCTTCACAATGAGGTTAGCATTAAAAACATTGCTGCGACTAGTGCGTTCCTAGACTTTCTTTCACGCATTATTCTTCTTCCTCCTCCCGCCTTTGAGGCATTGATTGGAACGTACAAACATGACAATTGATGTACTATGCAGCTTCAATCTGCTAGTACATTACAAACGTTCCTAGATTGACTTTCTTGCGCAAGCAAGCAAGACTGGGCTCTCTGACGTCGCGATCTCTATTCCGTGGTTGCGGGGATTCGTTTCACCCTGGACATTCTTTTTGAATTCTTATGTTCCTCTGGTGGTATGGTTTTACACTATATTATTTTCAAAAATAATCCGTAGAAAGGCTCCGAGTATTCAACATTCATGATTTGTATGACTGGAAATTCTTTTTGAGATTTCGCTTTACTTGAGATGTTTTCTTCTCTGACTGCTTCTTTTGCACGGCTACTGTTTGCTGGCGTCTTATTCACACGGATTGTTACATCTCCTGAATCCAAAGGAGATTAATGACCGTGATTGATAGTGACAGAAAAAGGCAACATCTGGACGTTTCAATTGCTATTCTCATCCAACACCGCTCTGTTAACATCCATAGGCCACCAATAAAGATTGAGGTCAGCGTTGCCAGCATTCGAATATCTCGCAAACATGATAATGCCATTTCAAAGAGAAAGCAGGTCGAAATCTACATGCGCGTTGCATCCCAGTGCTTCTTCTCAAGCAGATAACAACCTCAAAGATAAAGTGGCACCAGTTCCCCAGATGAGCCACTTAAAATATGACATGCAACTTTCGGGATCTTCGGGCTTGACCGAGTACAATATCGTGATGAGCACTAATATCGTGCCGCCAATCGCCAATATGTTGAAGCTTGTAGTCAACTTTCCGAGGATGCTAGTAGCTACGAGTAAAGCAATCTCAATTCCTGCCAAAACTGCGCAGTTCCTTTTGGTGTTATTTCTCCATGCCACCGCTAAACTTTTGGCTCCTGCTTTCAAGTCGTCTTTTAGGTCTTGATACCTCTATATGGTATCGTAAACTAACGCGTTAAGTACGACAGAGAAGTACAGGCAGGAAACAGTGCAAAGGATGCATCTCTCACTACTTGCCAGTGCGTCTAATCTTCCACACATCTCCAAAAGGTCGACGCCACCTGCTCCGGTGCCTACACCAACTCCGAAGGCAAATGAAGCACCAAGCCACAGCTGTGGATAATCGGTGAATCTTTTACATAGAGGATACACTACCTGCGTAGCGGAAAGTAAGGTCGCTGGTGCGCGGACCGCTTGAGGCAGTGGCGCAAGGATCGTCAACACGCCTAATACTGTTTGAATGGCCATGAAAACCAAAGCTGCAGGTCCACTGACAGTATTCCGTGCAATGGGTCGCAGTCTGCATTGTGCAACTTGTCGATCATAAGGGGCGTCTAGAAAATTGTTCCACGTACATGCAGCACCACGCAGAAATAGACATCCGCTTAAAATGTACAAATGTGGAACAAGGCGCTGCTCGAAGCTGGGGCGTGGAAGAGATAAATTGGCAGCATGAAATTGTGCTAAGAGTAAGCCAGCAATGTGAGGAAAGTAGAATGCAAAGTAATCTGCTGGTTTCTCCATTCGCATAAGCTGAGCGTATGGCACCCAAGTAGCTGGTAACAGTGAAAGAGGTCCTTTGGTTGGGGGAACATACTCTGGCAGAGTCTTGTCAGCCTGCAAGGGGTGGCATAGTACTGGGGTTCGTGTCAGCTTTCATATCAGTTGCCATTGTTTGATTCCTTTTGTGTGTTTCAAAATTGAATGTGTTTGGTGTCGATTCTACAATGCTAAGATTTGAATAGAGGTTCGTTCTCAGATTTATACACATGCTCTAGTAAGATTCATCGCCAGGATCTGCATTTATCACGTGCCATGCCTGCATTTGCTAACCTTAGAGATCAATACTTGCAATCCTGTATATCATGTTGGTATTCTGTCGCTTCAATCTGACACTCCAAAGTTACGCTGCTTTTTACCTTAACGATCTTATCATAATAAGCAACAACATTACATGTTGCTGCATCAAGCTAGTGAAATTGAAACCTACTCACCACATTATCAGAGCGTCTTAATATAGAAGATGCTGTAGCTCGGCTCGGTCGACTAAATGAAGAAATTTGGCTTCTATGAGTAACGGCTGCAAAACAGTAATCCCCATTTTGTGTTCACTGGGGTCTTCAGCTCCGAGTCAATTGTTGGTATAATTGGTCGATATCAATCGCCTAATAGACAAGCGACGCCATTCAGATTAGTTTGCGCACTTGAAAGCGGGCGTGGAGCCCTTCTGAGAATCTTCGACAGCATGTGAACGATGCACTCTGCAGTAACCCCACATCTGTATTTGACTTCTGAATCTGCTTTCGAACTTGTGATTGATTATCATACTGCTAAACAAAAGAAGCATTGGCTCACACTCGCGAAATTTCATCTCGGGAGTTCTAGGAGTGTGCCAGTGACAATTCAAAGCTCCTTCTATCCCAAATCCGCATTACATCAAGTCATCTGTTAGGTATCTCATAGGTCCAGTCCGATAAAGACTGCTTCCTGTTGATTCAAACTAGCCATTATGCCTCTCTTTCTCTTAATATCCTCATCCGCGAGGGCAGCCCAGGAATGGAAAGAGCCAGCAAGGACTTCCACAGTATCTTTTTCGCACCATTCTCTTGAATTCCTGAAGATGCCGAAGATCGGTATAAAAAAAAACTGACATCGGTGAAAATTCGCATTCCTTCTCTAGAAACTTGCCGTGATTTCAACCATCTTCTATTGCACTAATGCTTTGGGTTCGTAGTTTCACAGGAACAGTTATCTCCGAAGATCCCCTTGTATTTTGTTCGCGGCTAAGAGTGTTTGTCTCTCGATACTTGTATTTATTCCCCCTCTAGTAAAACCCTTAGCCGAACCTTCCCTTCCTCGCGTTATAGTAATTGTATCAGTAAAAACCTGCATCGAGATTTAAATAGTCTGAATTGTACTTCAGCAATCCCTGGCAATTAGAACGCATGAAAAGCTTGACAAATTGAATTCATTCTTAATATCGGATTGCTTTCGAATATCGAGAGATTGTATCTAGTCTGTCGATACAAAATATTGACAACCTGAAGCCGCATAGGCAGATAGGCATCTATTCAACATAATCTAAGTATCGTTTATGTCTTAAACCGAGTTCTCAGCTGAAGGAGATGATTTTGACGAAATTTAATGTTTTGTCACGGTAAAGCTCACAAGCGATTACGTATTCACACTCCGCCCACACGCTTCATAATCCCAACTTCAAGTTCGATCAAAATAATCTGCACAATATTCAATAATTTGATAGTTCCAGGTGATCTTCTACGAAAACTGATAGAAAATGATTTGAAGCGCCTCTCGCCAATCTAAATAATGTACAATTTAGCATCTACTCAATTTCAATCCCAATAATCGACATCGACTACCAGTCTCTCAAGAACTCCAAGTATCCGGATAGACTTCGTTTATTCGTCTACAATTGATACGTCGCCTTCAACCATTCTACACTAATCAATGCCCAAGTTTCCTCAACGAATTTCAATTTCAATCCTCGACACACCCCTCGCCTCCACCACTCTCGCCAAATCTCCACTCGCCACAGCCCTCTCCCACCACCGTCTATACCCTATCGACGACCTCGGCCAGCGCGATTGTAAATACTGATACTGCTGATCTTGTAAAGGTTCATCCTCCTCATATTCTCTCTCTGGCTTCGACCAAGCCGCCGGCATGTCGACACCCGGACCATAAATATCTTCCATGACCACATCACCATCTTCATCATAATTAACACTTTGATAGCTCCAATCTGAGCCTCTTCGTGCCGTGATAACTGTGGATATATCGGGAGAAATTGTACCATCTAAATCTGGCGACATTGCTCCATCGAAAGATTGTTGTTCGAGCGATGAGCGGCGTTGAAGGATTTTTGATGTGAGAAAATCGCTGTTCATTTCACCGCTGGCACACTCATCTGGGACATTTTCGCGAATGGTACCATCTCTCGATACACTCAATTTTGTGAAGTCTCTATATTTTCCGTCGTCCAAAAGCCAGACCTTAGCAATGCCATTAGTACTAAACGCCCAAACTGTGATACCATTGTTTGAATCAATCGCGAGATCGACTGTTCCAGAACATGTACCAATTTTCTGACCTTTGATTCTAACCGGCCACATGTTTCCCGGAATAATACCAGGTACTGGATGTCGAATAAGATTAAGCCATTCTTGAAGTCCCTCGTCAGGCCACCAGTCCAGCCACTGCATGTTTTTAGAATTCTTAGGAATGTTTCGTTTGTGATTCACAGAGCTTTCCAGTACATTCTGAGAACTCTGAGCTGCATGAAACACATCCCCTGGAACGGAGAACATCCAGATATCCTGTTCTGCCCAATTTCCAAATGCTGCCACAACTCTTACTCCCCAGCTTAGATCAGAACCTCCAGCATAGACCGTTGGACTACCTCTACCTTCTGGTCCCTCAAACCAAACTTTGCGAAGTAATTTGGTAGGTCCTCCGACAGGTGCATCACTGCCCAAACAGAGTGCTCCTGTGCTTGGATCTGTGAATAAAATATGATACCCATCACTTAGTGGTATGGCGCGATAGTGATCTGAATGATCAACCCTTCGACCAGAATCACTACGAAATCTTCCCACTGGTGTTAGTAAGTGCTGAGCATGTTCTATTTCCTCGCTATTGTCTCCGTGGCTTCCGCTCCACCCAATTCTTTGCCAGAATGAAGCACCTCGTGGTCTTCTTCCATATGATCTTTCATGTACAGCTGTACACTCACTGGGTCTAGCCGCACCTAGAAATCAATTAGTGGGTTTTGTGTGAAGTTGACTATTCAAATGAAAATTTGTGTCCAATGCTCATGCTTAAGTTACATCGCTGTCTCCTCCGGGATCTACAAGGTGATAATAACTTACTGCTAATAAGCCTCAGCTTCTTCGCCGAGTCTATACTTTTTCTTGGAGGTAAAAAGAACAAGAAATCGCTTGGAGCAGTAAGCGGAAACCATCTATTCAGATCCTGTCCGGTCAAAGCATCAACCCAGTGCAATTCAATACCAGCCGAGCACCCAAAAGCCACACATCTTCGTTGAGGACAAATAGCCACAGAACGTGGAGGGTCGTCCTCAGAACAAAGATTTCGATATATTGAACGCGGGCCGGTTTCTACTGGCATCTCTCTTACATCCGAATTTGAGACTTTACGAGCTGGTAGCTTGCTTCGCAATCGACTTCCTGCTCCAACAGAGTGAGGGCTAATCTCTTCTGGAGGATACGAATTTTTCACGACACTAGCTGACCGAAGCGCTTTGTGGTATTCCGAACGCTGTGCAATTCCTGGAGAAGTATCATCACTACGAGTTGTAGCTATTCCGGGGAAAACGAAAGCAGTTGTAGATCTTCCAGCCCTTTGTACAGGAGCCGAACTATCTAAGCTAACGCGATCGAGAAATGAGACGCCATGGTGAAAATCGTTTGCTGGAGAGACTGAGAGATCTGACCGACTTGAATGAGGCGAGGAAAGATCTGAAGTCTCAGGATCCGAAAAAACAGGGGGAGCAATATGGCTCAGAGAAATATCGCATACAAGGCCCATGCGCCCGTCAAGCAAAACAGCAATTGCATACCTATGTGAAGAAGTATCCATACTGCATGCTAAAACTCTGTGTGGACATATGATACTAGTAACTGGACGTAGAGAACCAGCTTGAACCTCATACCAATCATCCACGTCGCGATGGCTTTTGTTTAGTTCGTAAATATAGACTAGACACCCATTCGCAGCCATCAAAAAGTTCCCACAGCTACTCACAGTGAAAACGGTTCCAGCAGGAGTCGTTTTTTTATATTGGACCGCGACTTCTGTGAAATTTACAGTCGAAGCTTGCAAAAAAGGCGAACCTTTTGATTCGAGTGGAAAGTTATTCGGGCCTACCGGTACTCCGGACCCCGTCCAATCTGGACCAAGAGCACATTCCCTCGAAATCCGTTTACTCATGAACCATTCATATTCGGAGCTACGTCGAAAGGTCGAACTTTTTGCATCGGAGATTTCCTGTCGACAACTAGTCTCCCAACCTCCACGCCGGATCATGTTTTCAAGAAGAGAACGATCCATGCTGGTAAGAAGCCATGCTCGACATGTATGTCTGGCCGAATTAAAATCAAATGGTGTGAGGTAATTGTATACTTGTTGAATAATTTCTGTTGGTAGTTTTGAGAACGTGAATGATGTTGATTGACGAGCAGATTCTTCTAATCGAACAACACTAGGTAGACGATTAGAATATGATTCAACTGGTAAAGTTGGCTCAGGAGAAACGGGAGAGGATTGGCTGTAAACAGTCGTAACTGTCCGTGTAAGTGGTTCGATTGGAGATATAGTGGAGCTTATAGAACTTCCTCCAGAAGTCCTAGATCGAAGTCGACTCTTTAATTCTTTCGCATCAAGGGAGCCATTCAAACTGCTCGGGGATGCATGTCCGCTAAGTACCTCCGAAAAGCTATCCTGCTGAGATATCCCTCTTAGTGGTTCTAATACCTGGTCATCCAATATTGCAGCAGGATCATCGGGGTTATCATGAAGAGTATGACTTCGATCACGCCTTCGTATGGGCCGACCATCCACCTCGATGGTTGTTTTATTTCTTCTAAGTCGTGATTCAGCCTTTTCAAGAGGATTACGGTATCTCGGGCCTCG